TACGTTCTATATCCAAAGCTCTAGGCTATCCAAATAGGGTGATGAAATGAGCATACCAACAAACATGTCTGAAAGACAGAGCAGAGATTTTGAGGAACTTTAGACAAACAGAAACTTCACCCCATACTAGATGCATCGCAACGTTTTATGCAGGCTGATCCATCATGTCAGAAATCATTACCAAAAACTGGCCATTACTTACTTATAACCCTGTTTTGAAAGAATCTCTTCCAGCACATCCAAGTTTGACTGCAAGCAGATCAACAAATCTGATGGACACACTGGTTCACAGCCATTTAAGTACAAAAAAAAGTCACCAACACTTGGATAAAAGACACCAAAGGCACTTACCATTGCGGGCGCTGTAAGGCCTGCCAATTTATTAATCCTACCAAATTTTACAGTGTCAAACCAATCAGGCATTAAAATATTTACAAATGCCTTCATCAATTGTCGAACCACTAAACTAATTTATTTAATTACATGTTCATGCGGAAAACAATATATTGGAAGACTTACAAGTCAAAAGAAGAATTCTCCAACACATTAGATACATCACCAACCTCGGTACTCCTACCCCAGTGGCTAAACCTGTCATAATTTTTCATGACACAGATACTAAACATTTAACCTTTTAAGCAATAGAAAAATTATTACCTAACCCCAGAAAAGGTAATTTCAATAAACAACTACTACAGAAAGAGTCACAATGGATATATAGATTTCAAACCCCATCACCCTGAGATGTAAATGAGGAATTCAATTACACCTCTTTCATTCATAAGTAATCATCTCAAATCTATATCTCCTTAAAGCACTGAATTTGCTTTTCCTTCTCTTGATACTCTGTTTACTTATTTGTTACTCTATTCATCAACTATGAATTATTCTATAATTATTGTTCGGAACAGACAGCATAATAATCATTTTGAATCTTTTTGGACACTTCCCCAAATACTGTACTATTCACTATATTATGAGGTAATTAAGTAATATTTATAAATCAACAACATTAGACATCTCCAGTGAATAACTAAATATACAGCTTTAGTATACAACTATGGAGATATCAGTGCTATATATTTTCTTATAGATAGCACTACAGTATACCACCACAGTGACAATATGATAGTATATCATAAAGATGTGACTGCTGTATAGAATTGTGAATACATGATTGCTATGTACAAGCATACAATTTCTACGTACTATTATGGAGATTTGTACAACTGCCAGCATGATAACCACGCAGCTTAATACAATTAATGTCATTCTTTTGTCCATTGAAGACACGACAACACAGAGAAACAGATGCAATTAAGATTTTTAAATTGCTTCGATCACAAGAATAACACTGCGATACGTAATGAATTATTATTATACCTACCCAAAGTAAGGCTAAGCAGTTCAACAATATGACAGTATCAATTACAATTTAACTAATCATATCAAATTCCGAACAGTTATCACAGTAATTATCTTTCTTATTCTTTCCCTTTTTTAAACCTACGTTTAATAACTATATTATAGTGATAGGATTACAGTGCAAAATCATAAAGACAGGATTACTGTGGATGATTATCGACAATATGATTGCTATGTACAACTATGGAGACACGATTGCTGTATACCATTATTAAGACTTATACTACCACAATCAATAATCCCATGTCCATTTAAAATACGGCATAAAAAGAAACATGCTACTAAAACCCACAATTCACTGCGATCATAAGAATAGCATAGTAAAACAAAATGAATCCTATGCTCACTCAAGGCACTGTTAATCAGCGCAATTATATGACAGTATTAATTACAATTTCAACTTTAAAATACACATCATAACAATTATTTTTCTCCTTCTTTTGTAATGTACTTCTAATAATTACATTTTCACTTCAACAGTAAAATTATTATAATCACTTTAATGACATGACAACGAGCATCTAACAATACAGTATTCTTGCATGGCGAGATGGTAGACTACTTATCTCTTATGCAATCACTCAGAGTTTGATTTAATTCCCAATAAACTGTGAATAAAAAGCATTGTTAAAATCCAGATTATAACTTCTATTAGATACAGCCTTACAATCACTTTGAGAAGATGCGTTCCTATTGGATGTTCATGCAGATTAGATATTCAAAATACCCTATCCCCTTTCTCCTTTCTCAAGTGGTCTCACATTGGACATACCAACTGTCGATCAAATTTTACTTGGCTCATTGGATCAAATGGACACATTTTGGTTAGAGTTTCCTGATATATACCTAACCTGTCACAATAATGTTATCCCCCTTGAAGAGCTGCCTTACCGGCGAAACTCGAAGCATCGGGGCTCTGGTCTGCACTATCCTCTGATTATTACTACTTTAAGATATTTTTTTTGCAACTAGACTTCGGATATGATGTTTCTTCGAGTTGTATAGGTAGGGCACGTTCATGACATCCTCTCCTAAATGGTGCTTCTCTTAGACTAGCAGATAGCTTTCTTATACAGAACAGGTGCCCTTGAAGGCACAGCTTAGTAGTCTATAGCACAATAGCCAAAAGTACTGCATTAGGATAATAGTCATCTACTTAGTGATTTTACTTTCTAACTGGTATTAGTGATAATTAGTGATGTCGCAAACATGAAATTTTCGGTTCGCGAACGGCGAACGCGAACTTCTGCAAATGTTCGCGAACCGCCATAGACTTCAATGGGCAGGCGAATTTTAAAACACACAGGGACTCTTTCTGGCCACAATAGTGATGGAAAAGTTGTTTCAAGGGGACTAACACCTGGACTGTGGCATGCCGGAGGGGGATCCATGGCATAACTCCCATGGAAAATTACACAGTTGATACAGAGTCTGGTTTTAATCCATAAAGGGCAGAAATCACCTAACATTCCTAAATCACAATGAATATGGATTGACACCTGACATATGACATATTGACACCTTGACATATGGATTGACACCTGTCCTCAGAGCCCCTGACATATTGACACCTTGACATATGGATTGACACCTGTCCTCAGAGCCCCTGATGCACACGGACACAGAGCAGAATAGAGACTGGTCCCCCTACATAGGGTCACTTGGCAGATATGGATTGACAGCTGTCCTAAGGATCCCTGATACACACTGACACAGAGCAGAATAGGGACTGTTCCCCCTACATAGGGTCACTTGGCAGATATGGATTGACACCTGTCCTCAGAGACCCTGATACACACTGACACAGAGCAGAATAGAGACTGTTCTCCTACATAGGGTCACTTGGCAGATATGGATTGACACCTGTCCTCAGAGACCATGATACACACTGACACAGAGCAGAATAGAGACTGTTCCTCCTACATAGGGTCACTTGGCAGATATGGATTGACACCTGTCCTCAGAGACCATGATACACACTGACACAGAGCAGAATAGAGACTGTTCCCCCTACATAGGGTCACTTGGCAGATATGGATTGACACCTGTCCTCAGAGACCATGATACACACTGACACAGAGCAGAATAGGGACTGTTCCCCCTACATCGGGTCACTTGGCAGATATGGATTGACACCTTGTTACAAACTGCTATTTGTAACTGGCCCTTTAAATGGCAAATTGCCCTGCTTCCCTGGGTTGTGGAGAAGCCTATTTGCCAGCCTCCTCCCGCATGACTATGGCCCCTGGGAGATTGTGAAAATGTATGCACTTTTATTTGGTGTGTATGGCCCTTTAAGACTGTCGGTGGGCATATTGGGGCTTATGGACTCTTTATGTGAATGGTGCTTGCCCTGTAAACACCTTTTTTGGGACATCAGGAAGATTGGGACACTGCCCCTTTAAGACGGTGTCCCCTGTGTCCCCAGACCTGGTGCAAACCCTTTGTGCCTGCCTGGCTATTTCCCACTTGGTTCAGTAAATGGGGCTTACTGAACCAAGTACCACACAGCAGACCACCCAGAAGTGGAAGTGTGCAGGCAATTTACCTCCCAGAAGCTGCGGTTAACCGCAGCTTAATTGACAATGCTGGGAGGTCTTTGTTCGTTTACCCGAACACGTGGCGGTGACCATCTTTGATCATTCGACGAGGTCAGCGGTATGTGTAGCCAAATTCATGGAACTAAAATCGGCTACACATTTCCGCGAAATACCGCTGAGCTCTACCTTCTCCCCTACTGGTTTTACAGCTGCAGAGACTAAGTCCCATTTTTCAAGCCTGAAATAGGGACCTCCAGCTAACTTTTTAACCCCTGGATGGATTTGGCTGATTTTTGGTTATGTTTATGTTTTAAGTGTGCTGATTCCAAATATGTAATTGTTATGAAGATGGGATGTGTAGTTTTGGGTTACAGTGTATGGCTAAAAACTGTATTTTTACTGCCTGTGTTTAATTATGTTAATCTCTTCCCAAACGTCATTTCGTTCAAAGTGGAGAGAATGTTAAAAAATATATTTTTGTTCGGAGTGTGAGAAATGCTTTTCAGCCGCTTCTAATCTTAAGCATCATTTGAGGAGCCATACAGGAGAGAAACCTTATTTGTGGTGTGTTTAGTATTGTTCTGATCAGTTTAATACCTTTCGCGTCTCCTATCAGTGGACTTGTATATGGCAGCCATTTTAGGAACCGCACACCTGGGACCCGAGCAAGGTCACCTCGTTCAACAGGCGACAACATTTGTCCCTGGAAAACTATCCTGGACATTCTGTACAATTTGTATGGATATGGCAGTGATTTCTGTAACAGGGAGATGGAATAAGATGCTTGGTTGGTCCTCTTACTTCAAATTTGAGGCACTGCGCGGTCAAGCTAATGTGCCACCAGATAGGAGTGGTGTGTTTAGTATTGTTCTGATCAGTTTAATACCTTCCGCGTCTCCTATCAGTGGACGTGTATATGGCAGCCATTTTAGGAACCGTACACCTGGGACCCGAGCAAGGTCACCTCGTTCAACAGGCTTGCAGCATATCCTCCAGGAAGAAGAGCCTGAACCCTTACCGGCTGCACGTGTCTTACCTGTACATGGAAAGCTGCTCTGGTTCCTTGATGAGCCAGCTGCCCGTGAGTTAACATGTCCCGTGGAGAAGCACTCTGTCCTGTAAAGCCTCACCAAAAAAAAGGAGTGGTGTGTTTAGTATTGTTCTGATCAGTTTAATACCTTTCGCGTCTCCTATCAGTGGATGTGTATATGGCAGCCATTTTAGGAACCGCACACCTGGGACCCGAGCAAGGTCACCTCGTTCAACAGGCGACAACATTTGTCCCTGGAAAACTATCCTGGACATTCTGTACAATTTGTATGGATATGGCAGTGATTTCTGTAACAGGGAGATGGAAGAAGATGCTTGGTCGGTCCTCTTACTGCAAATTTGGGGCACTGCGCGGTCAAGCTAATGTGACACCAGATAGGAGTGGTGTGTTTAGTACTATTTTTATCAGTTTAATACCTTCCGCGTCTCCTATCAGTGGACGTGTATATGGCAGTGATTTCTGTAACAGGGAGATGGAAGAAGATGCTTGGTCGGTCCTCTTACTTCAAATTTAAAAGCGTCTTTAAAGCGTCCTGTCCTTGCCGGCATGGTCGTGGGAGGAGGAGGATGACTTCCACCTCACCCCCTGTTAGATTCCCGTTGTGCTGTGACATCACCCTTATACGCTGTGTAAAGCATACTTTTTAATTTATTTTGCAAATGCGGCATCCTTTCATACTTGTTGTAATTCGGTAACATTTCCGCCACCAGATAGGAGTGGTGTGTTTATTACTGTTCTGATCAGTTTAATACCTTCCACGTCTCCTATCAGTGGACGTGTACATGGCAGTGATTTCTGTAACAGGGAGATGGAAGAAGATGCTTGGTCAGTCCTCCTAACTGGAGACTGTGTTGCTGTACGGGTGGCAGGTGGAGCCATTTATAAAGTACCCACTACTTTGCAGACCAGGTATCAGTGGTCAGATGGACCCTTGCCCCAACACTGTGTGCCAGACATGCCATTACTTCCTTTTTCACAGTCGAGTACAGGTTGGGGATTGCCTTTTGCGCAAAGAAATTTTGGCCGGGTACCTTCCACTGCGGTGTCCCAATAGCTACAAATTTTTTGAACGCCTCAGACTCCACCAGATTGTATGGTAAAAGCTGGCGGGCTAATAGTTCAGACAAGCCAGGTGTCAGACGCCGGGCAAGGGGGTGACTTTCTGACGCTTGCAGACAACTAACTGCTATTCAATCTATAACAGTGAAAAAAGTTTTGAAGCCACAGTGCAGCACCAGAGGGCCTAAAAATTAGGCATGTACACATGCCTGAAAAATTCGGTATTGTTGCAGCCGCTGCTGTAGCAGCGGCCAGAAAAATTGATGTTTGTTTCACAGGCAGAAAGTGCCCTAAAACATGGCGGCTTGAACCCTAGTTGGTGGCGGATAAGTCACGCAAGTCAACCGGCATTCAGAGCTAAAATACAGCAGCGTGTGGACCATTTTTAGCCCAAGGCAGCTCATCTCATCAGGCCTTTTTTACATAGGGTCACTTGGCAGATATGGATTGACACCTGTCCTAGGGATCCCTGATACACACTGACACAGAGCAGAATAGGGACTGTTCCTCCTACATCGGGTCACTTGGCAGATATGGATTGACACCTGTCCTAAGGATCCCTAATACACACTGACACAGAGGGACTGTTCCTCCTACATAGGGTCACTTGGCAGATATGGATTGACACTGTCCACAAGGACAAGCTGCAGACTTCCTGGCAGGGCCCATACAAGGTGGTAGAGCAGGTTTGTGATACCACCTTTGTGATCGGTGCGGTCACAGGCACGGGAGGCAAGCGCATGCTCCATGTGAACAACCTCAGATGCCTATCCTATGCCCCGGATAGACGAGCTCCTAGACAAAATGGCCAGAGGCCAGTACCTCACCACAATAGATCTGTGCAAGGGGTACTGGCAAATTCCATTAGCCGAGGACGCCATCCACAAGTCGGCATTTGTCACCTTGTTTGGCCTGTATCAGTTTAAGGTCATGCCATTCGGGATGAAGAATGCCCCGGCTAACTTTCAGAGGATGGTAGATCGGCTACTGGATGGGTTTCAGGAGTATGCCTGCGCCTACTTGGATGATATAGCCATTTTTAGCTGCTCCTGGCCCGAACACCTGACCCACATAGGAGCCGTACTAGACCGGATTAGGGAGGCCGGACTGACCCTAAAGCCCAGTAAGTGCCATATAGGAACGCGTAAAAACCTCCCCAAGATAGTAGTATGGGCCCCAGAGTGTGAACAGGCCTTCCAACAGCTCAAGATGGCGCTCATTAAATCACCTGTACTTTCTGCTCCTGATCCAACTAAACACTTTCTCGTCCATACAGACGCTTCTATGTTTGGATTGGGAGCAGTACTGAGCCAAGTCGGAGCAGATGGTGGCGAGCAACCCGGGGCTTATCTAAGCCGGAAACTTTTGCCCAGGGAAGTAGATACACTGCCATTGAAAAGGAGTGCATGGCGGTGGTGTGGGCCCTCAAAAAGCTGCAACCTTACTTGTATGGACAACCGTTTACCTAACTCACAGATCACAACAAATTTGGGGCACTGCGCGTGCAATGTGCCACCAGATAGGAGTGGTGTGTTTAGTACTATTTTTATCAGTTTAGTCCCTGTTACGTCCCCTATCCGTTGATGTGGAGCAAGACGCAGCAGCAGAATAGGACTCAGCCGAGGAGGTTATGGAAGAGGATGGAGTAGGAGGAGTAGAGGAGGTGGCAGCAGGCCTGCCTGCAAGTCGTGGCGGTGTCACCAACTCCTCTGCAGAGCCACACATTCCATGCTTGGCAGCCGTCAGCAGGTTTACCCAATGCGCAGTGTAGGTGATATACCTGCCCTGACCATGCTTTGCAGACCAGGTATCAGTGGTCAGATGGACCCTTGCCCCAACACTGTGTGCCAGACATGCCATTACTTCCTTTTGCACAATCGAGTACAGGTTGGGGATTGCCTTTTGTGAAAAGGAATTTCGTCCGGGTACATTCCACTGCGGTGCCTCAGACTCCACCAGCTTGTATGGTAAAAGCTGGCGGGCTAATAGTACAGACAAGCCAGCTGTCAGACGCCGGGCAAGGGGGTGACTTTCTGACATTGGCTTCTTACTCTCAAACATGTCCTTGACAGACACCTGACTGTGGGCAGATGAGCAGGAACTGCTCAAGGCGAGAGACTGAGTGGCAGATGGTTGAGGGGGCAAGGAGGACAGCAGTGGTTGACATGGCTGAAGATGCTGGACCAGGAGGAGGATGGCGGCTTTGAGTTTGTGTGCTGCTTGTACTCATGTGTTGATCCCACAGGCGTTTGTGATGTGCGATCATGTGCCTTCGCAAAGCAGTTGTACCTAGGTGGGTGTTGGACTTCCCACGACTCAGTTTCTTTTGGCACAGGTTGGAAATGGCATCGCTGTTGTCAGAGGCAGACACACAAAAAAAATGCCACACTGCTGAGCTCTGCAATGACGGCATTCTGGTGGTGGACACAGCATGCGTTGATTGGCGTGCTGTCGGGCTGACCCCAGGTGCCGATGCATGCTGTCTGACTGTGCCACTAGCTCCTTGCGACGACCTCCCCCTGCTTCCAACTCGTCTCCTCCTCCTCTCCGTCTCCCCATCTGAACTTTCGCCCTGTTCTTCTTGCCGAGCGGGCACCCACGTGACATCCATGGACGCATCGTCATCATCAACCGCTTCACTTATATCTGACAACTCAGCAAAGGAAGCAGCAGCGGGTACAACATCATCTTCATCACACCGTACATGTGTAATGCTGCCTGACTGAGACATATCCCTGTTATCTACATCCTCTGTCAATAATGGTTGCGCATCACTCATTTCTTCAAACGGATGTGTAAATAACTCCTCTGACATACCAAGTGAAGCGGCTGTGGTGCTAGTGTTGGTGGTGGCGGCAGGCGGATGAGTGGTATCTTGAGAGGTGCCCGAAGCTAAGCTGGAGGAGGATGTTGCGTCAAGGTTCCGAGCGGAAGCTGTAGAAGATTGGGTGTCCTGTGTTAGCCAGTCAACTATGTCCTCAGAACTTTTCAAGTTCAGGGTACCTGGCCTCTGAAAACTGGGCATTATTCTAGGGCAAAAGGGAATCACAGCACCACGACTACAACAGCCCCTGCGGGGTAGCCTGCCTTCTGCCTGTCATTTTTTTTTTTGATTAGTGGTACTATGCGTGCAAGCTACTGTGACACCAGATATGAGTGGCACTGTGAACTGGCAGAGGTTGGCAGAGTACACGCTGTAGGCCTGACACACCCGCTTGAAGACAACTAACTGCTATTCAATCTATAACAGTGAAAAAAGTTTTTTGGTTTTTAAATGCACGCTATTGTGACACCAGATATGAGTGGCATTTGAACTGGCAAAGGTTGGCAGAGTACACGTTGTAGGCCTGACACACCTGCTTGAAGACAACTAACTGCTATTCAATCTATAACAGTGAAAAAAGTTTTTTGTTTTTTAAATGCAAGCTATTGTGACACCAGATATGAGTGGCACTGTGAATTGGCAGAGTACACGTTGTAGGCCTGACACACAGACACTTGTAGACAACTAACTGCTATTCAATCTATAACAGTGAAAAAAGTTTTTTGGTTTTTAAATGCACGCTATTGTGACACCAGATAAGAGTGGCACTTTGAACTGGCAAGGGTTGGCAGAGTACACGTTGTAGGCCTGACACACAGACGCTTGGAGACAGCTAACTGCTAT